GCCCAACCTCTTCACCCCTCTAACGAGGACACTTTTACAAATGACCAAACCGTTGCGTTTTCATTGTTGCCACAGCTTTTCAGCTAGCTACTCCTAAGTGTGAGTCAGGAGATTTGTGATATGGGACAGGCAGGCACGGGCAGGGCCTTAACCTCTGTAGCAAGGTGAGAGGATGGAAAATGGGGAGCCGAGGAGAAGGTGTCTCCGTTCCCATCACTCCCTTTAGCAAGGATATCAAGAACACACCTGGAAGCAGCCTGTCTCCATCGACATGTGGATGGATAAACAAAACGTGATGGATTCAGGTAAGGGGCTAATACTCGGCCATAAAGAAAAATGGGATGAGCCCTGGTGGCGTAAGTGTTACACACTGGGCTGCTAATGGCAAGGTCAGCAGTTCAAAACCACCAGCCACTCAGAGGGAGAACGATGGGGCTCTCCACTCCTAAGCAGAGTTACAGTCGTGGAAATTCACAAGGGCATTCTACCCAGGACTACAGGGCCGCAATGAGTCGGCATCGACTGGATGACAGTGGGCTTGGGTTTGGGGCATAAAGAGAAATGAAGGCTTAAGATAGGCCACCATGCAGACGCACCTGGAGAGCAGGCTGGGTGAAAAAACACGCTGAGTGACGTCAGTCAGTCACAGAGGCAAATACCATACGACCTCGCTTAGGCGGACTATCTAGAATAGACAGATGCAGAAGTGGCAGGAGGCAGGGAGAGGAGGTAACTGTTTAGGAAGCAGCGAGCATCTGTTCGTGGGGATGGGACAAAGAAAAGAAAGAATTGCACATGCCAAAAAAAAAATTAAATAGCAAATGTTGGGTTATCTATTTTACCCCAAGATTAAAAAGAAAGAAGGAAAAACAGACCTGGCCCGCTAGCCCATGGAGAAGCTGGCTTCAGAGGAGGGAGAGTCAGAAAGAGGAGAGACGGAGAGGCCGAGGGTGTGGGCACCCCAGGAGCCGATTCCCCCTCTTCGGAAGGGTGAGATCAGATGGGGCAGAAAAGGGGCACAGTGGAAGGGGACCCTGAGGGCAGGTTCCTGGGCCAATCTTGGCTCTTGGCTCTGAGAGGAGAGGGCTTGACAGACACCTGGCCACTCTGGGGAGCAGCCAGCCTTGCTAAAAGGGTGGGGGGATATCCATGGGAAGATGACGTGGGCCCCGAGGAGCCTCGGCTTCCTTGGGTGGTTGGCCCTTGAGCTGAGAACTGCTTGTTCGAAGTGGGATTCACTAGCACCAAGCAAGGGGATCTTGCGGTGGGAGCTCAGGGGACAGCCACCACAGCAGGGGCCAGACAGAGGTGTCTGCAGAGGTGTGGGGTCCAGGAGGCCCTGCACGCACAGCTCCGATTAGCATTACCTCTGAACCCACCAGAACACTGCCTCTGGAAGCTGAGAGGGCCAGAACCTGGGGCAACTGATAATTTTCTGGGCACCCTGTTCAAGTTTTGCTAAACGTACCAGCTGAGGTTTCCTTATTACAGGGTTTCATTTCGTCAACCGGCAGGTGGGGTTCATGGAAAGATTAAATCAGCGCAGTCCCTCCACACATCTGAGTGGCAGATGACCATGTCAGTACTCTGCACCTATGCAGGATTGCACCAGGAGCCAAGCACTGCCACGTGGGTGGTCCTCTCCCTGGGTGATCTTATTCCCTCTTTTCAACTTACTGTTAAAGGAAAGAGCACTC